AGGAAGTGGGTGTCCCAGCTAATTGGAACGAATCGATTATAGTGGCAATATACGAGAAGGGCAGTCGCACAGAGTGTTCTGACCACAGTGGTATTAGCCTAACGCCAGTTGTGACAAAATTACTGACCTCGATTCTCGTTCGTCGCCTCACTATGGAACGGGAATCTCGGATAAGGGAAGTGCAGGCAGGTTTCCGCCCAGGACGTGCCTGTACAGACCATATATTCACTTTGCGGTAGGTGCTAGAGCAGCGCCATGCATAGCGCAGACCGACAATCGCTATGTTCCTTGATTTCAAATGTTCGATCGATTCAGTCGATCGATGCATTCTGTTCGAAATTCTTGCGCGGAAAGGTGTTCCCACGAAATATGTGAACATCCTACATGCTCTATACTCCAACACTACACGCTGCGTCAGGGTCCATGGTGACCTGTCGGATAGCTTTCCGACTACAAGTGGAGTCCGTCAGAATTGTCCGATTCCCTCATTATCGTTAAATTGCGTCGTGGATTCTATCATGGAGTGTTCCCTTGCGGAATCTAACGATGTAGGCGTAGAAGTGTTGCCTAGTGAAAGATTAGTTGATCTTGATTATGCGGATGATATCGTCTTGCTTTTCGACGATGTTGCGGCGGCACAATCAACGCTGAATAGCTTGTCTAGAGTGGTCCCATTATTTGGTATGCGCTTCGTACCTTCAAAGTGCAAAGTGTTGCTGCAGGACCACCAGCCACTTTATGATCCCTTTTAAACGTTTTAGAGCTGTAGACACGTCTTCAGATACAAAGGTAAAGAGTAATGGGGACACAAGGCAGCCTTGTCGCACACTGCTGTTAACAGTGAAGGGCGAGGAAAGCTTCCGTAGATCCACAATCCGTTGGAGATATGAAGGTGAAGTGCGCGTAGGATGGCGGTACACCGTAAAGCAGATCGATCAACCGAGCCGAATGGAGCCCGTATGTCTAAAAGTGAGACTGCAGTGGGTCGGTGGCAAATGTGGCAGTGTACGAGAAGTTGGCGGAGCGTGAACACTCGAGCCACGCATCCACGGCCTAGACGGAAACCAGCTTGTTCTCCATTGTAGCATAAACCATGTATTGGGGATAGTCTACAAAGCAGAATGGATGCTAATAACTTGGAGGCAACAGAAAGGAGACTAATACCTCGATGACTAACACATAAAGTGAGTGTTCCTTTTTCAAAAATCGGGACAATAACTGATTCGCTTAATGGGGAGGGTACTTTCCCTCATGTCCGACTTTTGCGAACGAGGTCAGCTGGTTAATGATTGTCACGCCGGCGTACTTGAACAGCTCCGGAGTAAGTATTTCTGAGTCGATAGCCTTTAATCGTTTCAAGGGGCAAGCGACAAAGCAGACTCCCGCCTCGTTGGGTACATGCAGTGGGACGGGTCAGGGAAGGCATCAGGGTGCACCGCGTCATGGATGGTGAAAGCCAGCCGAATTGAGTGTTCGGCCCAATCGTCCGAACGCCTGTACTGGTTAGTGATCGGAGACACATCTGTCTCGCAGATAGTTTTACTCATAAATATCTCCTGAGGCCAGTGGGCAGGAGTTAGAAAAGCTTGAGAGCATTGCCAGAGGGCCGCGGTCTCCATCTCCAAAGCACTCAGAGCATTAAGCCTCGTAATCCTTGCACAAGCTCTGCTTGAGTTACATTGGAACATTGAATTTAATGGGAATAAAAGCTCGAGCTTTACATGACCCATAGGGTAAAAAGAGTTCGGGTCGGGTCTGATGAAAGGCCAAGCAACCTTATAGTAGGTTGGACTCGCGTGTTTGCTGTATCTTCATCGGGCTTATGCGGCATTTAAACAGAATGCACGCCAGGTCAAAGTGCGATATCCCACCACGCCCTCCGAAACGGCTATGGAAAGGAAGTAGAAGAAAAAAGGAAGGAAACTCCATCAAGTAAAAGGTAGTTATATCAGGGAATACCGCGGTGTAGCTCAGCCAGATGAAAGTCCAGGCGGATCTTAAAATCCGCCACAGTGGGTGCCAAGACTAAATCAGCAGGCAGATCATTTCACGGTCGGCAGATTCGCAAAGCAAAGTAGTGTCGTCTGCAGTTCAGCCGACTGTGCTGATGTGCGAGCCTCAGTGGGTGTCCACGTAGATGGGAGCACGACTGGTGCAGTGTGAGGTGTCCAGAGTTGGATAAGGTCAGAAATACAAGAATCAGGTCCTTCCGCAGAGGTCGGTACGTAAGCGAGTAGAGGTCCAGGCAGCAAAGTCGTTGTGGATAATCTGGGTGATTGAGACCTCGGACCAGTGTGTTGCTCGACGTTGTGGGGCTACGAACATCCGTTGGTCCTTCAACAACCAGGGGCTCCATGCCTGAATAGCAACCTCAAGTGGGGTCGAAGAAAAGCGTTGAGGAGCAGTTGAAAATTGCTAGGGTCAGTTTGACCGAAGGATCGTTTCAGCAATCCCACCATGCGGTTAGCAGTAGCAGCTGCTTTTCGACAGGAAGCGGATACGGAAAGACTCGTCTGGGTAATGATACCTGAGTCTTTCGGCTGAAGAGATCTAGAGGATAGACGCTCCCACGCACTACATAGGAGAAAGAGCGGAAGGGCGGCTAGAAAGGACGCGACATTTCGAAGCGTTAAATGGAAGGTTGTTTTCGATGGACCACTGATGTAGACGGTCGATGTCCGTCTGAAGTGCGTGGGCATCGTCCGGAAGGTTAATTGTGCGCCACAGCTTCGCGTCATCCGCATATAGCAGCAGCGAAGACTCCATTTGTGGTGTGACGCCATCAATGTAGGCCAGGAAGAGATCCGGTCTGAGAACAGACCCCTGTGGAACTACGAATGTGGCAACGATGCTGGGAGACAACGCTCCGTCGACGCGTGCTTGGACAGTACGGTTTTGAAGGTAGTTCCGGACCAAGTCCATCAAGGCCCCTGAAACGCCGTAGGGCAACAGTTTCTGTAGTAGAATGTTGTCGTCAACCTTGGCGAAGGCTTTGGCGAAATTCAAGCATATAATGCGTTTCTAGGCCAGTCGGCAGCAGTCGTCCAATTATCTCTGGCGAGTAGCAGGTTACTCAGGCACGACCGTTGCCGCCGGAAGCCGTGGTGGCAATAGGAGAGTAGTTTCTGGGCCTTCATGTGGTCCATTAAAGCGTCTGCGATGATCGATCCCATCACTTTGGAGATGGTAGAGAGGAGAGTTATCGGCCGGGTCCGCGAGTTCCGTCTTTGTAGATTGGTGTAATAGTCCCACATTTCCATTCATTGGGAACTTTGCCTTCCGAGAAGTGGGTGAACAGCTCCGCTAGGGGTAAAGCTAGAGCTGCAGCACACGATCGCAAGAGCCTTGGGTGGAAACCGTCAGCGACAGGAGAGACCGTTAGCCGCAGGGATTTGAGTTTCGCCAGGACCTTCTCCGGAGTGAACTGAACAGTCGTCAGGGAAGTTGGGGGAGACCGAAGAAGGTACTATCGTTGTATGCATTGATAGATCGGAGAATGTAGATGCGTACTGCTGGCACGGGAGTTCTGCTGCCTCGTTCGCTGATTTTGAGCCCTGTGTGGGTCGTCAGTGCGGTGACAGAGCGGCGCATCTCGTTATCTGATTTTGCCAGAATCTCTGTGGCGGTCAAACAGCTCCAGCGATCCAAACTTTTAAGGGCGGCTGACTAGGCCGTAGCTTGATTGTCCGGAAGTGGTTATCGCCCTCTGTGTACAAGTCCAGTGTCGCTCCAAGTTTTGCGGTTGATTGCCGCTGAGTGCTAGTGAAGCGTGGTAACTCGCCTGCAGTGTAGAATCGGTTGATCTGTTTGCGTCAATCTTGCGGTGCTTCATTTTGGGGACCGCCAAAACAAATGCAGATTTTCGAGTAAGCCAGCGCATGATCTGAGTCAATGAAAGTGAAGCAAAATGACCTGCAGCCCTCCTTACGCTTCCGCGCCATCTGGAGCTGATTGAACGTGCTATTTGAGACCACGCTTGTGTTGGCGAAGGGAGCGCCAGAGGCCACCGTCGCGACACCAGTAAAGTGAATAGGATGGCTGCACTGCGTTTGGTAAAGTTGCGAAGTACTTTCCCATGGGTTTAAGTTAACGGAACCATTAACCCGCCACTACTAACTCCGACATGCAAAAATGTCGGATAACTACATAAATGGCACACAGTATGATGGTAGCATCAGTCATCACAACAATGGGTGCCGGGCCGTAGGGTTTACGGCAAGACCAACACCATCAGCGACAGTAGTACATCAGCTATTTGAACTGTACTGATAGAGGGGGTTCGAAATTAGTCATGACACGCTGGAACCTGTCTTACTTTCGTCACCTTCGAAGGATAAACTTGTTCTCTCTGGAGTATCGTCGTGGTGACTTGATTTACAAACGACGTATTCTCCGAGGAGAGATAGAGGATGATACACAAGACTTCTTCTTATCTGTGCATACATTTCGACACGAGTTCACGGTACGAAGCTGCCTAAACCAAGGAAGCTTCGGGGTTGCTCTGATGTCAATTTGTCATCTCGCGGCGAATGACTGGAACGGTTTGCCTGAGCTACTCGTCAGTTAACAAACAGCGGTATGTTGCAAACAATTAGTGGACATCTAGTTGCTGAACACACTTGGGTTATCTTGTGTTGACTGTGAGTGCAATGCTTCCTTGTGGAACAATGTTACGCATAAACTCACATGGTCCCTACAGTGAGTGAGAAGTGACGGAGCTGACAAAGGCTTTCTTTTCCCTACAAACTAACGAACCGATGAGTGCTGGGGCATTTTTTTCCGTAAACGGTAATGCAGTGAAACGTACCTTAGACTGCAGACGTTAGCTATTGACCTGGACATCTATTTCACTATCGATCGGACACAATGAGGTCATAATATAGACTAGACTAAACTTGAGTGGCAATTGAGATTACAACGGAGAGCTTGGAAAGCGTTACATCAGATAAGGGTTGTCGAAAACTGCAGGCACCAGGAAAGTGAAATACAAAACACGACTTTTCCAAAAGTTCTTTAATGCAGTTAATCTTTACAAGATTCGCTATACATCCTATCGCGTCTTTTTTCGATAACTGCATCCTAAAAAATCATAAAGTAGAATAAGTATTGAGAAAAGGAAACTTGCCATTTGCTAACCGTGTTCGGCCGCCGGTCGGTTGACAGAGTATTCGGTCGCAACCAGGACAGACAACGGGTATCTGAGCATGGCTGAAAACAATCTGTATTTTCAGGCAACCTAGAAAGATTCGATTAAGTTAATCAGCCTACCAGGGCACTTGACATCCATGAAAAACGAGTTAGGAGATGGAACCAAGCGCTTCAGTTTACATTTCCGCTTTTCGTCACGTAAAGAAGGGTGCAATAAGTCAACTGCAAGCTGCAAAATTAATCAAGAAGACATTAGGATTTATGCATATGCAAAAACAGGAACAATGAAGACGAAAAGTGAATAGAGACCCACGGGCATGTTCACGGCGCGCTGCTCGAGTAAAAGTGCGCGGGAGGTATCCTTTAGTTTGATAAAACACTGCAGCGCAATCCTTATCCGTCATTTAACAATCTATAATAAATAGACAAAATACATAACATTTTTACACTGTACACATACCCTGATAATACCACCGTCCGGTCAATGTTGCCTAGGGTTTTCAGGTGGTCAGCCGGAGGCCATTTTCCGTCCTTTCAGATTCAGATTCAGATGGACTGGAACGATAGGAAAATCCCTTGAGTGTTCCTTCTTGAACAAATCGTTGAGCCAGGAAATGATGAGGTGCTAGTTCTTGATAGATCTAAAACGAAACACACCCTGATCAACAAATTACTGCCCACGTTCCCCGCCCTAGCAGTCCGCGCTGCGTAGGTTACGTGAAGTAAGAAAGAAGTATAAAGTAAATGGAAGGTAAAGGGGAATGAAAGTCATTAAAATGAAGGATAACACCAAAGAGTGACGAGAATGACAGAATAAGAACTAACAGTTTGAAGATGGGTATGGTCAGGAGAAGGGAAAGGTTTCGTGCTGCCACCCAAGAGCGTCTAACTGACGCTCGAAACCATTAACCGTAGGTTCACTGACTACACTTTCTGGAAGCGAGTTCCAGCGCTCGATAACTCTACGCGATAACCGAGTTTCCGTCCCGATCCGGTCAGAACGCGGCTTGGGATGACCGCGAAGACAAGGTCACCTAGCCGGGCTAAATAGCCATCTCAATTCCGGTCCAACCTTCCCTGTTAAAGTGCGGTAAGTAAGGATTAGGTCTCCTCGAAGCCGTCGGTAGTGCATTGAATACATACCCAAGCTAAGTAGACGCTCGGGGTACGGATGCCCCCGTAACCCCTCGACCAATTTGGTACCTACTCTCAAAACCCTCTCAAGCTCCATTTTGTCCCGAACAAGGCAGGGCAGGCAAGCCTGGACGCAGTATACCAGATGGGGCCGAACGAAAGCTGAGAACAGCTTCACAAATATGTCGGCAGTTAAGACCCCGAAAGAACGGCTTATCAACCACAACATTCTGAAACCCCTACTAGCGGCCTTCTTCCAGTTGTCACCAGAATGCAAAGTCGTAGAATGAACGACACCTAGGTCTACCTGATTGGAGACAAGGGGGAGTTCGACCCCATCGAGTACGTAGCTCGAAGGCGGGAAAGTTGCTCCTATACGAAGGACGGAACACTTAGCCTGATTTATGGGCAGTAGCCACAAATTAGACCAGTCCCATAGTCTGTCCAGTGCATGCTGTATGGCCTCGGAATCCCCAGGAACATTTACAACATTCCATAGCTTAAGGTCATCAGCAAACAATAGGGATGATACCCCCAGCTCTCCAGGGAGATCGTTTACGTTAATGGAGAAGAGCATCGGTCCACGTACCGAGCCCTATGGGACACCGCTAAGGACCGCTTGCTTAAGGAATAAGCTACGACCCACACGTACACACTGCTCTCTTCCCTGCAAGAACGCAGATACCCAGTGAAGGGCGCGGCCAGATACGCCGTAGAACCTCAGCTTTTGTGATAGCCTCAAGTGGGGTACCTTATCAAATGCTTTCGAGAAGTCTAAGAAAAGCACATCCACCACGTGGTCATTGTCCACTGCCTCGGCCCAAACTTCATGAGCAACCAACAAATTCGTCAAACACGAAAACCCCTTCCGGAATACATGTTGCGCACTACTGAGTAGACTAAATCTACTCAGGTGACATTCCAACGAATCTTTCACCAGCTTTTCAAGCAGTTTGACCACGACGCTAGTCAGACTAACTGGCCTATAATTGGCTGACAGATCCCTGTCGCCATTTTTGAAGATAGGACAGATGACAGCCTTCTTCCATTCGGAAGGTAATGTACAGCTATCAAGTGATTTCTGAAACACCATCGTCAGCGGTCCACTCATTTCCACCGCCAACTCATGCAGAAGCTTCAGGTGAATTGAATCAGGTCCAGCTGCTTTGGAAGGGTTCAGTTCTTGCAGCAGTTTAAGGACTTGCGTTTCCACCACAGTAAACTCAGCTAAATAAGAACCCTCAGGTACTCTGGTGACAAGTTCAAGGCTAGTCAACGCGGCCTCACGTACAAAATCCCCTGCATACTGTTCCACAAGTACACGAGCCTTATCTGAGTCCGCGTACGCACGATTTCCATCGGCCCGCATCAAAGTTGGTATTAGGAGAACAGCTATTAGACATTCATTTATTGTGACCGAGCTTGATGGCTATTCTTTACTCTTCCTATGTTCTGTTTCTTGACTGTTGTTTAAACGTTCTACTGGGTTCGCCCGATTGGTACATCCGCGTCATTGTTAATGGACGCTCTTCGTCATGCCTTTCTCAGCAGCGCTGTTTGCAGGAACATATTCTATTGGTTTTTTCTTCTCATTACTGTTCTACTTGGTTATGTTAAAGGAATATTTAGTTTCACGCAATTATTGTACTAGTGTTCAACTTTTGGGTCTGCATTCCCTATTCGCGTTTGTTTCGTGACTTTTGTTTAAACGTTTCATTTCGTCATTCTGATTGGCCAGTGCCCGTCACCGTAAATAGTCGTTCGCTTTACGCTTGGAGTCCAATGATGCTATTTTTAGGGACTTAAGCGATTCGCTCTTACATACACTTTTGCTTATTCGCCGTTGCATTTTACGTTTTTCCTTCAGTTGGTAGGCTCAAGTGTATTTTAGTAGCTTCCCTGCATTTTGCCTTCAAACTATATAAACAACTGTGATTTCATGTATACAAGTCTCTTTCTGGCTCGTCTTTGGACTTCTTCTTGCGGTCGTGGGGTGAAGACATCAGCGGCGACACAACTGTTGGGATTACCGAAGTTGAACCACAGCGTCTCTTAACATAAGCGAAGAAATTCTTCGGATTTTCCGAAGCTCCATCAGCCAATTCCTTTTCGTACACCAGCCGAGCTTTCCTTAAGTGTTGTTTACACCTATTTCTAGCCTTGCGATACCTAACATAGGTGCTAGTTGATGGAACCGCACTGTATGTCCTCCAGCACCTAAAACGCTTCTGGAGCAGGTACTTGCCAGTGGTATCTATCCACGGCGGCCGCACCCGTGTCTCCTTTCTCCTCGCAAGCGGGATATAGGGAGTAGACACTTCCGTGAGATAAGATTTAAATTTATCCCAGGCCGCCTGAACCGTATCAACCACCGAGATTTCGCAACGCGTCCCAGCAGCCTCGGTACGCATTGCCTGATAGTTAGCAGGCCATATGTTTGGAAATCGCTTAGCAATGCTCTGGTGACGCCTGGTCAGACTACACCTGAACGATAAACAAACATGATCACTAGCACCTAAGAGTGTGCTGTAAGTGATGTCCCCTACGAAGTTTAGTGACTTGGCAAACACTAGATCCAAAAAAGACGGGAGTTGTGCATCCATGTACCTAGTGGAGATGCCCACGAACTGATGCAACGGTACTTGTAGCGTAAGCTCAAGTAGATCTGTACCGAAAGTACCTTCTGCCGAGTTGCAAGAAAGATCCGCCCAGCAAACTTCTGGTAGATTGAAATCCCCCAGTATCAAACACCTGTTTGCGGATTGGGAGCGAATAAAGTCAGGCACCTCTTTGGACCCACTCCCAGGGCTTTTATACACAAGTACGACTGTAAGTTGAGCTGAGGAAGTGTTAATCACTACCGACAGCTCTTCGGCAGTTTTAGCTGCCGACTGAAACATGAAGGTGCGTGAAACGTCAAGTTCACACCTAACGTAAATAGCAACGCCCCCGCCTGGTCGGCCAACGAAGCGATCACATCTAAATAGTGCGTAGCCAGACAGATGTACTTCACCGTCTGTGATGTCTCGAGACAGCCACGTTTCAGTGAATGCAAGTATATCGGGATGAGACCCATCTACAAACAGACCTATCTCGCACATCTTATTCCTTAGGCTCCGCACATTGCTTAGCACTATCTGAAGGTAGTCGTAAGGTCCAGCCCTGGGTCGTGCGCTAACAGTACTGGCCCTGGTAGGGCGGAAACAGACCGCCGGCTGACCACCCGAAAACCAACCAACCGGAGACCTTGTTCACCGGCCGTTCGCCTGGTTTTGAGGTCCTTAATGGCCTCTTTTAGCTTCAGCCTACCCGCTAATGGGAGGTCTGGCTGAACGCTAAGATTAGTACCCTTCAATTTGAAGGCAAACCGCAACAGCGCGTTTCCTTCCTCCGGCGTGGATAGGACTACCCGAAGTAAGCGCGGTCGAGGGTTTGGGGCGTTAACTGGGACGTTACCCAATCTAGTCAGTTTCCTGACAGTAACACCTGGAAACCCAGGTGGAAGAAGCTTCGTCACGCACATCTTAAAATACTGTAAGTCGTCCAATGTACGTTCGGCAGGAAGTGCAGCAGAGGATACCACTGCGTTGCGGAATATCACGCTGCTATCCATGAAAGAATCACCTCGACGGGGTGTATTTACCCCACGGGTTTTAAAATTTACATGAACCGCAACCGGCTTGGCCGCAGGAAACGTGACTGGGCGCAAGCTACCAGACGACGTTGAAGCAACTGTAGCGTAGGCCTTACGCTCCAACTTGATTGTCCCGTCATTCTTGACGCTTTTCGAATCTGCTTGAAGGGTACGGGCAGTTCTGTTCCGATTTCTTTTCCGTCCTGCAGGCGAAAAGGCCTGTGGCTCAACGTCCATGCTTGCCCCCACGACCTGTACCCTTGGAAGACAAGATGTTTTTGGAGTAGGCTTTGCAGTTTGAGTAGCACGCGATGTGGACATCTGGGATTTTTACCTCTGCCTGTACAATTTTAGGTGAAACTGAGGGAGTCGCATCACCAGGTGGTGATTTCCGCTCAGGTAGTTGCATCTTGAGCGTCTTCTCTCGGTTTGGGTGCGGAGGGTTTGCGCACTTTTCTTGCCCTCTTTCGCCCGTTCTTTTCTGGCCCAGGAGCCCGTGACTCGCTCTCCATTTGTGGAGGGTCAACAATGCCATCCGAGGCATATGAGTCATCTATCCCATCCTGATGGCGCTCGACCCAGTGATGGTCCTGCGGACTACCTTCAGGTAGTATAGTACTTAGCAACGTGCGTAGCCTGACGTACAAGGTGCACGATTTGGGTCCACTTGTGTGCAAACTCGTTCAGACTTACTTGCTTTCACCGAAAACTT